GAACCGTTTCGAACCAAATCATTGATTAGGAGCAATTCTTGGGTAAATCATTTGCAAAACTGTGCACTTTTGAGTCGGTGATGCTCCACATTTGACGCAAAAGTACATGTCGTCAGGGGAGCTCGTAAGTTGATTCCGAGCAACTTACGAGTTCCCCTGACGGACTCTCGTAAACACACACTATTTCCTTTGTATGACCCGTTGACTCAGGAGAACTCTCTCCTTAGGGGCTCAGTTCATCTCATCGCAGAACCTCGCATGACTGTGGTCCCACCGCGGACTTTGTATCCTTATACTATGGCGAAAGGATCGTGATCATGTGAACTCGGTGGAGTTGGATTAGGCCCGTCAGGTTAGATCATCTCACCTGACGAGAACCTTACTACGGGCTTATGTGCTTCTTCGTCCTGCCTAATTAACTTCGCTCAACCAAAAAACTAACACCTGCCTCGAGAAGGGTGATTTAGGTGTCCCGCAGAGATCTACAGGAGGCTGAAATCTCCGATTAGCATTAAGCAAAGTCACTACTCAAGTCTCAATACATTGACTAGCTCAGGGCAGTTCCTCCTATTGCTAAAGCTTTAAATTTAGCTTAAAGAAGAAATCACGCTCCAAACAAACAACGCTACAGTAGTTGCATTATTCGTACGTGTTTGTCCACTTCAAGAGGAACCAGTAATTTCCTGAGTTTAGAAAGAGAAGTTCGTTCAACCGGAAATCTCATGCGGAGACCTTATTCAGACCTCAGTTTAAGGTCCGCTTGCACTTTTCTGATTTTTAGTAAATCTGCCTTAAACAAAAACAGTACTTTCCCACCTGCAACTGGGTGTTGAGAAGCCCGTAAAGAATCCAGTTTGATGAGCTCCCAAAATATGGAAGTAGGTGAACACAGTAGATAACAAAAAGAAGAAGTTCGCTTGTTGTCGTCGGTAATCCGGCAACTGACATTACGATCGCGTAGAGCACAGAAAACCTATAGAGACAGAACTTCAGAATAATGTTAGATAATAACTAGAGCTAAACGCCGACCAGTATGGAGTCCAACAAACGAAATAAACAGCGGCAATTAGGACAGTATACATAACGACCCGTCTTAGAGGAATAGCTGACCTTGGAAGAACTCTGGAAGGCAGAGACGTCAGTAGTAAGTGCAACTTCCATTCATTAGTTATATACGATTAAAAACTAGATTATTTACCTTTTATGCACATATAGCTTTCGAATGAGATTCCAGTTGAAAAAAACAATGAGAATAAGCGGCACAACATAGCCCAGTACAAACGTTCTAAAATATGATGTTAGAAACTTAAATGAACAGTTGTAGCGATATAACTTTGGGAAGAAAATGCTTCAGCTCAAGTTGTCTTTTTTGCTAATAAGTGAAGCAAAAGGGATTAGGTTGGCACCATTAAGAAATATTGGCCGCAATCTGACTTTCTAACTTTTAAAATTCGCAATCAAGCGGAGAAGGTTAACTCTTTGAAATTTAGCAAACTTCGCCTAATATGTTTTTCTTGGGGGAGGGGGAGGGAAAAACGCCTTCTTTTATTTTGTTCGTATCAAATCGTTCGAGGACTCGGCACATATTTAGTTGTTATTATCTATCTCTCTTCTATCAAGGTGATGTTTTGATTTGAGGGTGAGGCCACAAATATAAATCTTAAAGAATCTTGGGAGGTCGGTAGCTTCAAGATAAGCTTTTATCCTTCTAGAGGATGTAGTTGTCAGCATAACACAGCATTGTGGCAGATAGTTGTACATGAAGATCATAGTAGCTTATATGTTGCAAAGCACTTGATGTTTT